ACCATGCTTTCTGGAAGCATAATCGTTATGATGAGCCAATACGCACCGTCATCTCTTCGTCGCCCGATGAATCTACTATCGTTGAAGATCAGCCCTTCGTTCACCCAGGCCATCTCACATCTCGATCTGGGCGTTATGCAGGTAAAACTACCGCAGAAGCTACCAAGAAGATCGTCGAATTGTTGGCCTCAAAGAATCTTGGTGGTCCAGCTGATTCATGGCGTCTCCGAGACTGGCTAGTCAGTCGACAACGTTATTGGGGCACGCCTATCCCAATCATTCATTGCAAGAGTTGTGGACCAGTTCCGGTGCCTAAGGATCAGCTCCCAGTCGAACTTCCACCTCTTCAAGATCATTGGGTAACGGGGAAAGCCGGGAACCCTCTCGAGGGGGCTCATGAGTGGATAAACACTTCGTGTCCGAAGTGCGGCGAAGCAGCGAAACGGGACACTGATACAATGGATACTTTTGTTGATTCGAGTTGGTATTTTATGAGATATCCAGATGCCAGGAACCCAGATATACATTTCTCAGCAGACGCTGCCAAGCAATGGCTCCCAGTCGACATCTATGTCGGAGGTGTGGAGCATGCAATCCTCCATCTACTGTATGCGCGCTTCATATCCAAGTTTTTGGCTTTGACGCCTTATTGGCCTTCTGGTTTTGCAACGGGTGGGGAACCATTCAAAACCCTTTTGGCTCAAGGCATGGTACATGGAAAGACCTACTCAGACCCATCGACTGGACGGTTTTTGAAACCGACAGAAGTCAGCTTCAGTAAATCTAAGCCGGTCATTATTGCATCTGGTAAGACACCAGATGTGAGCTTCGAGAAGATGTCAAAATCGAAGTACAACGGTGTGGATCCTACGGCATGTATGAATAAGTACGGAGCCGACGCAACAAGAGCCCATATTCTTTTTCAAGCGCCTGTGAGTGAAGTACTCGAATGGGACGAAGAAAAGATTGCTGGTGTTACAAGGTGGATGCGTCGCCTGCATAACTGGGTTTACGAGGGTTACCGTGCAGATGATGCTTCCTGTTTCTGGCACGGATATTGGTTCGACTGTAGGTATTACTTATCCCAGTCGGAACTTGATTTACGCATCATCGACACACCTAACTTTGCATCACTGCCGAAAGAATCTCAACATAATTTACTACTCCAACGATCGGACCTTAGATTACAAGGAGAACTATGGCGCCACGTTCAGAAGACTATTAGGAATGTCACGGCTTCGTATAGCAATGGTCATTCTCTTAACACTGTTGTCTCGGATCTCATGTCTCTGACCAATGCTATCATTGAATTCCCATCCCCTCAATCCAACAATATTAGTGGTCGCCTTCTCGTTCTGCACCAGGCCATGTTGACACTCCTCAGGTTGACGGCCCCCATCGCGCCCGCATTTTCAGAGGAGTGCTGGTCTATCATGGCTTATTGCAAACCTCCCCTCTTTGATCGACTAAAGGGTATAATCTCTACTCGGTCCATCGCGCCTCTAGCACCGTCGTGCCTACCGACCTCCATCTTCGAGAATTCTTTCCCCGAGGAAGATGGCTCTTACGAATCTCTCGCCCCAGCTACCCAGAAGGTTTCCGTGCAGGTCAACGGGAAGTTGAAATGTGTCGTGGAAATTGACAAGCCTCTGGCACATCTTGAAGGCATTTTGTTGGAGAAGTGGGTTTCGAAGGAGATTCTGAGTAATGGGGAGGCGAAGGGAAAGTTGATTAACGAGCGTTTAGATGTGCGGAACTCGACTAAGGTCATTGTTGTTAAGAAAGGGCAGCTGGTGAATTTCGTGATAGGCCAGCGGCAAGCTAAAAAGAAATAGTCGCCAATGTGGGAAAACTTTTAGATATATATGTACTATATGATAGATAGATAGCGTCAATTGTATATGAGGCTCTAACATATCAACTTATTTCCTAGCACATAGTCTTTCCTTCTTTCGCTAACTCCAAAAGTGATATTAACTTGATTATCGAGAATCTTGCTTGATAGGAGGCGAAATTTACTAGCCTTTACCTTGGTCTCTATTTTCTCGTTGGAAATCTGGACTTGGCTATCACAAGTTACGAATATTACCACTAGTTAGTTACTTTGTCTTTTGTATTTTATCGAGATTAACTCCCTGATTCTATCCTATACATGCTCACTAAAAGCTGGAGTTCTAGGAAGTCGAAATTTTTTGCCTTCGGGAATATGGTCGTTACTAGCTCCCATGTGTGAGAACATGGTGTGAAACCATAGCCAGCATACGGCAAACTCCCACGTTCTCGGCCACGCTATCTGTAGCACCCGGACAGATGGAAAGAACTTCACATCACAACGCTTCCGAAAGAATAAATTGCTTCAACGATGCTGTATTAATTATTACTGTCAGAATATTCCTCGTATCGTAGACTTCGCTCTCTTTCTCTTTTCCCGTCCGTTCGGCAACAAGGGTGTGATGTTACACAAATATACAATCGCTCAAGCATGACATCCAATTGTGTTTCTGTGCCTGCTTCTGCTTGGCATCTTTAAACCTCAAAATTGTTCTATGAAATATCAATGGAGTCAACCCTTAAAAATTGGCGTTCTGGTGATGTCCGCGGTGAGGAACATCTGTAGTGGTAGTCGTCTGATAACCCTGAGCAGTGTTTGGACCGCCATAAACTTGTGGAGCGGCAGGGTTGGTATTCCTATGTCCAAGTCCACCGGAAGCGACTGGTTCATTGCTGTACTTGTTGTAAGTCGGCTCGTGGCCGACAGCAGTGCTCTCTGTGTTGTACGAGTCGCGGACATCAACGGGAGTGGCGTGGGCTGGAAGGGCATCTGGATTAGACTCAACGTCGCGAGTGGCGTGCTTGTTCTTGCGTTGCCAGAACTTTCGCTTTGGGGCGCCGGATGTGTAGTTGTTGGCAGGGCTTGGGCCGTATGCCTTTTGCTTCTTGTGGTGCTTCATAAGGGCGATCTCAACGAAGATAGAGATGCAGAAGAAGACGCTGTGCACCATTAGCTTATGAACTATAACATTATGAACTATAAAATTAAGAACTGTAAAATTATGAACGAATGCACTTACAGTCCAATGATGGACACAGCGAAACAAGCAGTGTTGAGCTTGCATGCAGTGCGGAATTTGGGAAGGTTCACGAATCGGTCCTCTCCGTTATTGACATGATCGCTGCCATCAGCATTTCCAATTCCAAGAGGGGTGTTGACGATGCCGCTGCAGCTATTGGCGCCGTGTCGAGTAGCATATGCAAGGTAGATGAACGCCCCAGCGAAAGCAACATCAAGAACGATGGCGATAATGCTCCAAATTGCAATACCGCCAAGGCAGCAGACCAAGACCAAAGCGATCAAAGTGTACAAGACACCAGCTCCAGAGATACCAGTAACAGCTCGTAGGTACGTTTCGATGGGGAGATGGTTGTTGGCGAGAGCTGCAAGGAAGTAGGCATAGATACCGAGAATGATTGAAGCGCAGCAGAACTCGATGAATCTCATGAACAGTTGCACACCCTTGAGGGCGAGCCCACCCCCTTTGGCCATTCTAGTTGGTAGAACCGCGAGTGGATTCGACACAAAGTTGGTAATAACTCGTACGACGACTTTACTGTACACAATGACTTGGATTGCGTACAAGTTGCTGCGCTTGTAGTTGGTTGAATGCTAGGACTGGATGCAACTCTCTGGGTCTGTTGGGGTTGGAATGCTTTCGTTGTAAGATTGTAGAACCGTCTTGGAAGAGAGGATGGAGAAGGCTACTCGAACTCTTCTGTTCACAGGAAGAAGACGGCTGTTCGTTGAGAGATCGGTTGGCAAATCGAAGAAGTTAGAGTGGTATGACCGGCGTTTATACCGTATGGGGCCATGATGTCTATATAGACTCGACAGAGTCTGGCATGGGGATATGACGAATGGATATCGAGATGAGTGGGGAAAGTGGCTTGGAAGCTTGGATATGCTTGAATGGAGAATATCTATTGGATGGATTGCCAAGTTGTGGATGATATCGATGCAGATGGGATGATTGCAAGCGTGTGTGGTTGGACGGCAAGACAAGGAAAAGCTGGACAATGCAGCGGCCAGAAAGACTAGGTGTTGAAAGAGACATTTACATCATCGTTTCCCTCGCTAGATCAAGATTCTTTGGAGAAGAAAAAGGATAGCCGTGATGAGTTCTGACTTCCTCAATTCGACATACCTTCTAGGCGTGACTCTTCACCGTGGTTTCTCACTGGAGAATCATCACTTGATGATTATCTCGGGCCTCCATTTCACGCTCTATGCGATTCGCCGTTCTCATAATCTTTTCCCTCAAAGAATTGAGTTGTTGCGCTCGAGAAAACATTTCTAGACTTTTCGGTTGACGTTGCTGCAAACGACGTCATGCTGCTCTTTGTCCCTGGAACAGATCAAGGTCAACATGCGGGCAGCCACATGGGGCGAAATTACAGTAGGGGTCTCACATTGGCTGACGCCACTTACAGTACACATTCTCTCTCCATGAGTGGCTCCCTGCCATGGACACGGCACTTGTGGAATGGCTTTGAAAACTTGGACTTGGCTCGATGTTGAGGTCGAGAACATTGAGATGTCACAGACTTTTCTTAAGCGAGACAAGACTGCCTGCTGCTTCTAGACGACCAAAGAGTACTGTGTAGAGTACAGTACATCATCGTACACGCCCTAGCCAACAAGAGTTGATGATGTGCTAGAAAGCAGTACGAGTACAAGGGTACCGTTATCATGAAAAATAGGTCCCTTTAATCGATTCATTAACTAAGGAGAGGCTTTTAGGGATAGATGATAAGGACTCAAACTACAACCTAGACAGAACTTTTAAACAAGGCCTCAATAGACTTGCTATTGTTGAAAACTTTATGAATTTTTCAAAACAAACCAGGCGAAGACCCCATTCTCCACCAGCGTAGGCCCCTTTCTCCAGCGCAGGCCAATGTTGAAAATTTCATAATAATCCTCTCCTTCGATCCCCCATCAACTAGGTCGCTTAGCTCAGTTGGTTAGAGCGTGGTGCTAATATACGAGCTTGTAACTCGGATAAACGCCAAGGTCGCGAGTTCGACCCTCGTAGTGACCAGTTCTTCTTTTTGGTATTTTTTACCCTTCCCTTACTTCGACGTTAACTCCCACTTTACGAAGGAGCAGGAAGGGAAGATGGTGTGTGTGAATTACATGCCAGATGGTTGGGTGTGGAATGTTGGCTAAGCGAGGTGAGAAATGGGGGCATGAAAACCTTTTCCCGCCGCTGGATGGGGAAGGGTTAAGTGACACAATGATTCACGCTTGAAAACTCTCAGAGACTTGCGATCCTGAGGTGCATGTTGCACAATAATGATGGAGGTTCTGATGTTCCTTCGATTTTATCATTGTCCTTGTGGGGCACATTTTGGAAATAAGGGTACTGTATTCAATTTATTTAACAAATAGGTATACCTAGAGGAAGGAAACTTCTGTTCTGCGAATACCATATCTGAACTCTTTGCTATCCAGCTTGCTTGCCAGTTTGTTCCAAGCCATACCAAACTCCAACGCTAAATCGTTTCCCAAGGGCTGAAGCATCCAGACATCTTCGAGCTAAAACGTCGAGGGCTCCAGCATTTGCTTTTTGTTCGCCGTTCCTTTGGCAGGCTCGCCATTGAAGCACGCTTTCTTCTCCAATGTTGTGGCGCCTCCCACCTCTGCCCCCCACGATGCGTCCTTAATCTCCCCCGTCCTCAAGAAGAGATATCGACCATAATTTGATTCCCTCCGAACAAATCTCCATCCGGCCGCTCCCACTCGTTGGTCTGAAAGTCCCAATTAATATCCATCCCACTCTCTCCATGTGCACCGTCGATCATGGTTAGATCGGCCCAGGTATCGCTCGACTCATTGAAATTGAAATATGAGTTGAAATCATCGGTAGGATTTGCAGACGAGATATTCAGTAGGTTCGGGTCATGAAATGGTTCGGGTTCGGCACAGGCTTGGGCCAAGGTGCTGGAATAAGGCTCCGAGGGTACATTTTCGGTTGGAGTCGATATGGTCTCCTCTTGAGGCGTGGTTTCCCGTATCAATCCGGGTGGCGATGCTGTTTGGTCGACAAGTGCGAGTTCCTTCAGCTGGTCGATTCGGTGTGTAGCCTCACGATTGTTTTCTGCGTCTAGAGTGCTCTCAGCGATCCTCATTGCCGAGATGTCCAAATTCGCCATTCGAGCTGCAGCATCCAAGAATTGAATGGCGAAGTCAGCAGAGGCGTAATTACATCGCAGCCTTTCCATGACTTTCGAACATGTCCAATATCCATTTGCCCCTATCTTCCTCAACGCGGGGTCGCTAGATTTCGCGTCAAGTAGATGGATGATTATCGCAGGTATGAGGACGGTTACTCCAGTGGTAGGGAGGAATCGGTCCAGTCCTTCCACATGGAGATTCCTTGCGATCTCTGTGATTTGTGTTGATGCTTCCCGAACGCTTTTCCTCGAAAGATCTTGCAACTCTCGGGAGGAGTCCGGCTGATTTGGACCCGATGAAGATGGCAAAACTTGCGGTCTGTGAAGGGCAGACAGGGCCGTGTAATAAACCATATGGAGTAATGATCTTTGGACAAACAATGAATGTCCATTCGTTCCTTGGGATAGAACACCCGGGTACTGGCAGGCCTTCGGTAGTTCCTGGACCCACTCGCTCAGCTCCGCATCACAGCGTTGTACTTCCTCTGTCTGGTCCATTTTCTTTGGGAAAAGCATGACACTTGAACGGGTAGGGCCTTCTTGGCCTTGCATGCCTTGGTGCTTTATTAGGACCGAGTACTGTGCTGTCAAGATATGGCTGATACAAAGACATAACTTGGCTTTCGCGATACACATCTCAGCTAGCTGCAACTGAGTCTCAGAATCCCGCGCTGCAGTACGATTCAGAGGAATGATCTGGTTCGTGTCCGGGAGAATTTGGGTCTCAAAGTCGTCTAGCGTAAGCATAGGCACATCAAAATCTTCGTCCTTGACACGAGTCGGTCGTCTCATGCCTAAAGCCACCAACCGATCACGCATGAAGGTTGACCACCATATTCTCTTCCACAGCTTTTTGCGTTCTGGGTCCATGTTGGACTTCTCCGGATTCCGATGCAGACCGATCGTATGGGCGAGTGAAATGGCAACTCCCATCCAATGCCATGTATCTTTTTGATCGTCCGGAGTCTCATACCAATAGGTCATGAGCAAGATCGATTGGACGAGGATGATGCGATCACTCTCGTAATCGAAATCATACAAGACCTATACGTGTCAGCTATGTTTCGGATTGGGACTGATGGTGCCACAAACCCTTGACTTTTGAAAGAATGCCTTTCGTGCCAATTTTCTGTTTTTGTGTCCCTCGGCTCTGAGGAATTTGATGTCGACGAAAGCCGTGCCAGCGAACATGATCGATTGGAAAAGGAGCAGGCTCATCTTCCCTGTCGATCCGGTGTCGTCAGCGATTAAGTTCAAAGCCTCGCAAATGTTTATCAATGGCATGTAAGGGTGAACATATTCCAGATAGGCCAAAAGTAGTGCATTCCGCACTGGAACCGAAGGGATGCTCAGAGCACCTTTGGCGTAAAGATAGTCAATGTCCACAGATGTCATCCGAGAAGGCAAAGGTTTGATGTATTCCGGCAGCCGATGCCTCAACCTATTTCCCCCTGAATATCCCTCCATTGGAAACCCTGGTGTTGACGGCCCAGACGGTTCCAATCTGGTGGCTTTCATGTCACCTGTGATAGACGCTGACTTTAGTAATGAGTAAGCCAAGTTTGGGTCGGCCTCGTATTGACCTTGAATGTGGCTTTGCCTTAGTAGCATCTCGCTGTTGTTAATTTGCACGGTAGCACTTTGATCTGAACCGTCATTAGTACTAGGTGAATGGTGCAGCGACTACTATACTTACAAATGGAATGTGGCTGATGTCCCATCTCTGCGGAATTGGAGACCGAGGACTCGCTCCAACTCCTCACATCGCCATTCGTAATATGAGACGGATTCACTATATCCTGCTCATTTGTCCATGCCATAACGTCCGGCGAACCCATGACGTGTGGTGATAGATTCAGTCCATCCTGGGGTTGTGCGGGAATCTGTCCGTTCGATATTTGCTTTCTACACCGGATTAGAACCAATCACTCTGCATGTTCAACAGCCCAACTTACTTTCGCCTTTTGCTCTCCTCGATCACACATTTGATACCATCCATCGTGCAATTGGAACAGGTCGCATGTCCAGTGTCCGTAACGTGATACCTCTGCGTCACGTCGCACCGCACCTTTCTTGCCCTGCAGGCAGCACATGCTTTCGCAGCCCTCCTCTTGACAGGCTTCGGATTTCCATCTTTGTCCGTTCCGACGGTAGAGGAAGTTCGTTTCTTAGTCGTGTTGTCCTCGCCTCCGGATGGCGATTGTGATTCTGGAGTATGTAGCTGTGTAGCCGGAGCCGCAGAATCTTCAGAAAAGCTCGACATGGCGATAAATAGCTATTATGTAGGTGCCCAAACTTGCGGCTTCTGGTGTTTTGTGCGGAATAAGGACCTCGAACTCATTGACTTCCCTTCAATTAAGAATATAAGGGCCTTTCAGTCACAACAATTCGGTGACGATTATATAATTAAGAAGAGGCCACTTAAGATGAGATGCCTACTGGGGGAGCGGAAAGTTTAAAAGATTCTGGAAAGGAGGGGATGACTAGCTTATGTAGAAACATGAATTGTACCCTTGCTGAATTGCTCTGGGCGGACGTAGTAGGTAAGAAGCAACTTTTTATGGGGCAGCTAAACTCTGGTGGGGTTTCAAAAGTGTATCTAATTTGCGCAAGAATGTAAGATATATTATATCAAACCCAGGTAATTGCCTATCAGTACTCATTGCCTGTTGAAATAGAATAAAATAAAGTAAAGAATAAAAAAATATAGCCAAAAAAAACCCCCGTCAAAAGAGCATTGCTGCTGAGCTGACCGCTGTGCCATCGTAGCTAAGACACCCTGACTACATGTGATATCAGTTAGAACGTTCGAAAGGTACAGTTAGTGCTGGGTTTCGTTTTGGGGAAATCCCGGTGGAAAGGCTCTCCTTTGCCGGGTTCCTTGTATAACTTCCTTATGGTTCCTTCTGGCACCACGGTCATAGGAGAGAGCACCACACTTGCGGTCTTCCAGACATCCCAATGCCCAGACAACAACCCCTCCTCCGCCTTTCCAGCTCAAGATGGCCCCATTCTCCAGATTCCAATCTCTCGAAAAGTCGGGGAAACTCGTGGGGAAGGGGTCCATGATGCCGACCTATCCACGAACTCAACCACTCACGACGCAACACTCCATCGAACCAAATTGCGAGACCGGAAATGCTTCTCCGATTGCAGCCCGACATCGCAGGGACGAACGGCAGCAAACGACAGCGAATGGATTTAAAAGCGAGAGGCGAAAGAGAAGGTGTGCGGCTTGCATGCTGTTGCGGCTCAGAGGCGCCTGGGAAAGACTTTTGCCCCTCGATTGCGCGACCCCAAGCTTCAGGAGGCCAGGGAGGGAAAGACATCCGTTCATGCCTCCGTACGGACGAGGCGGAGGCGGGGTCCCCTCAGGACGCCTCCAAACGTACGGAGAGGGCCGAGAAGTATGTATCGACAGGGGAAGGTTGATATCGAATGAATTCCCATCGATTTGAGAAGCACTTGCCATCATCGAGGAGATAGCGTCGATTTGGACCACGGGCTAAGTGCTAGACGATAGAGCAGATATCGAATGACGAAGCGAAGCCAAGTTCGGATGACGAGGGAATAATCAGGGAGGCCTTGAAAAGTCGAATTTGCATGACGCGAGAACAGAAGGAGCAAATTGATGGGAATTGCATGTGTCTGACTCGTGAGCGTCTCGGCTGAGTGGGGCCAAGGAAGAAGGTTTTGTCGAGGTTGGCGAAGGGTGGCAAGCAGACAAGGGGCAAGGGGCAATAACCGAACATAACCGAAGAAAGTAGCCATGCATTTTGAGCACGTGAGCACTTTCCTCCAGCATTCAGCTGTCAGCTTACAATCTCACATGAAGGTGATGACCGAGATTTTCGCCTCTCGTGTC